AAGCAGGCTCCAGGCTCCGAGCCGGCGGCACAGACCCCGATGCGGGGCTCGAACTCACAAACCATGAGATCATGACCTGAGCCGAAGTCAGACGCTTAACCAACTGAGCCACCCAGGTGCCCTTTGAGCGGTGGTTTTTAATTGGTGTGGGGGTGGTAAGGAATGGGGTCTGTGCATTTTGGAAAACATTCCCCATGCTGTTCTTTAGGCATATCACACCTTCCATCCCCATCAACCCCACCATTCTTCTTTGGGAAACTTATACTCATCTCTAAAGTCCTAGAAAATAGGAAACTGTACCTTATTTATCATTGTATCCCAGTGCTTAGCATTTTTGCAGCATCTATGCTGTTAAGATAGGCAATAAATGTTCCTTGCAGGAAGGTAAAACTAGGAGTTTGGAGGTAGGAGAAATTAATTGTGACTCGGAAGAGCATGATAGACTTTGTACGATGGTTACTTGAGAGGAGTTATGAAAAGAGGTGTAGGGCTGGTTGTATAGAAATGGGGGAAAACATTTCACACGAGGGAATGAGCAAAAGCAGACACAGGAAAGTGTGGTATGTATTCCAGGAATTCTTGGGGAAAAATCATAGAGTGTGTGAAGTGGAAGAAGCCTATGGAATTTGACTCTAGAAGGCCATTGCATGGAATTTGAGCTTTGTTTGTAGGTGGTGGGGAACCATTGAAGAAATTTTATCATGGCATAACTTGAATCATATGTCAGCAACTTGATATATCTGTCACTGTAAAGGTGAGATTATGGCTAGGTAGAAAGTAGAGATGGGGGCTCCAGGTAAAATGAGGACAATTAGAGTCTAAATTAGATTGATGGTGAAGAAAGAAGAGGGAGTTGATGCCAGACATATTTGAGAGGTAAAAATCAGTAAGCCACTCTTTTTTTAAGTACCACATTTTTCATTTTAAAGTCTTTTTTTTTTTTTTTTTTTAAGAGAGAATGTGCATGCACATGTACAGGAGCCAAGGAAGGGCAGAGAGGGAGGAAGAGAGAGAATCCCAAGCAGGCTCCATGCTGAGCCATGAACCATGAGGTCATGACCTGAGCTGAAATCAAGAGTTGGATGCTCAACCGACTGAGCCATGCAGGCCGCTCCTGCATTTTTCATTTTAAAGATCGTGCTAGCAAAGAAGAATGTTTTGACAGGCTAACACTCCTCCTTTGCAATTGAATTGCCTCAGCATTTATAGAAAATAATGAAATAAAGTTAATTAGATGTCATCCTGATAATAACAGTAGAGTTAAGTGATTGATGATATGTTGTGGAGGTTTATTTCATGTAAAAATTAATTGTAGATTATAGACATGTCCAAAGAGAGAACAAGATATTAATTTGGTCTTTATGTTTCTGTCGTGGTTTACATAGGCCTTTTATGCTTTCTTTCTCTTTATGAATTCAGGCACAGAAGAGGCTAAGTGATGGTGCACTCTCAGTGCCACTTCAGAAAATTACATAGGAATCAGTAGACAATATGCTGATGTACTATTTACTAGAACCCCAAGAAACTGAGCTGAAATATTGAAAACGAAGGACATTCTTCTTATTATCTTGTTAGCTGCCCTTATCAGAGTATTTGTTTTAGCAGCTTTTAGCTGACAGCAAAAACTAATACCATCATCAATGTTATTTTATGTATGTTGCTAGTTTTCATTGTTTTAGGAGACAACATGATTATGACTTATTCAGTTATTTTTTTTTTAATTTTTTTTTCAACATTTATTTATTTTTGGGACAGAGAGAGACAAAGCATGAACGGGGGAGGGGCAGAGAGAGAGGGAGACACAGAATCGGAAACAGGCTCCAGGCTCTGAGCCATCAGCCCAGAGCCTGACGCGGGGCTCGAACTCACGGACCGCGAGATCGTGACCTGGCTGAAGTCAGACGCTTAACCGACTGCGCCACCCAGGCGCCCCCTATTCAGTTATTTTTGCTGTATACATCATCTGTAAATCAAGTGAATTATTCATATTACTGTTAGTATCATTTCTCTTAAGTAGTTTGTTGACTTTATATAATATAGTGCTTGCTTCATGTAGTCTTCAGCTCTGGAAGCTCATTTGTGTTGTTTTAAAACTCGAAACCAAGACTTTTAGTTTTTAAGATAGCAGAGTATAGGCATTTGTACCCCCTCCTGTCTGAAATTACCCTGAAACAACAAGGAGATTGAGAGACAGAGATTACATCTTTGGTGAGACCAGGAATCCTATAACCCAAATCAAAATATTTGAGAAAGGTTCCCGTAAGCAGGAAGAGATTGAAAGAGGATACTGTCGGGAAGAGATCTCAGATAGAGCTGGCAGTGCAGTCAGGGAGAGATCTTCTGTTTCCAGTAGCAACAGGATGCATAGGAAGGCAGTAAGAGCTTTCTTGGATTGTTTGGGAGCATGAACTAGCAGGAAAGGAAGAGGACATAAGAAAACATACAGAGAGACGCCATCTTTGCAGGAATCACTTTCTTGGTGAGGCAAGGAGTAACGGCTAAACGACTTTCTCTCACTTGTTCTCAGATACATTGTCTTTGTCTTTCTCTCTCACACACACATGCACAAAACACTGTGTCATAAGATGCTTTCTTGTATATTAGAGACTACCTTCTAGTCCAGAACACAGCTTGTTTCTTCCTTCCACAGGCCTCTTGCAAATAACTGATCTGAGTAGAGTTCACATCATTCACAGGTAAATAAGAAAAAGGAAATGAGCACAGTTATCTCCCCCAAAATGCTACCAGAGAAAAGGAAAAAAGAAACAGGGAAAAACAAATGACAAAGAACCCATGAGAAAACTGTATTGGCCTAACAAATTTAATGAAACAGTCACTTCTTTAATTTTTAAAAAAAAATTTTTTTTTCAACGTTTATTTATTTTTGGGACAGAGAGAGACAGAGCATGAACGGGGGAGGGGCAGAGAGAGAGGGAGACACAGAATCAGAAACAGGCTCCAGGCTCTGAGCCATCAGCCCAGAGCCTGACGCGGGGCTCGAACTCACGGACCTCGAGATCATGACCTGGCTGAAGTCGGATGCTTAACCGACTGCGCCACCCAGGTGCCCCTATTTTTTTTTAATGTTTATTTATTTTTGAGAGAGAGTATGAGTTGGGGAGGGGCAGAGAGAGAGAGAGAGAGAGAGACAGAATCTGAAGCAGGCTCCAGGGTCTGAGCTGTTAGCACAGAGCCTGATGCGGGGCTCGAACTCATGAACAGTGAGATCATGACCTGAGCTGAAGTCAAATGCTTAACTGACTGAGCCACCCATGTGCTCCGAAATAATCACTTATTTAAAATAATAGACAAAGTAAAATAATAGA